GGGTACATATCCGTGCGAGGTAAGTTAATGCGGCATGGTAAGGAGAAATGAAGAGCAGATCTGCGAAGAAACAATATACAGATTGGTATTTAGAGCATAATTCACTTAAAGACTTGCTGCCAGTGACATCACACCTAGCTACTGATGTTGGAACACTACTACGTCCCAATCGTTATTTATTTAAGCTACTATGATGTATGCCATGTCGAATCAACTGGTCAAGGCTCAACTAATTTTGCATAATCATTTCCACCCCTAACTAGAGCTTGCATGACTTTCTTTTTTGCTGTTCAATTACAATATCCACACAATGAATACTCTTGCTTCACGGGACCATCGGTTCTAATGTAAAAGGGCATTAAGATAGCATAAAACTCAACAGAAACTTGCAAATTTTGCTGACGCAAGACCGTTTAATCACACTCTACGCAAATAGGCCGAGCCACATGTCTACAAAGTGGAAGAGAACGTAACGAAATTGCAAACAGCTATTCTGGAACATGCCTGAGAGACGAAGGTAAACCTACATATATGCTGCGAACGTATGTGATCTTGCATTTCGTCCCACGTGGAGTAGTCTGTGTAGCATTCTGGGCAGTAAAGACGGAGTTCTGATTCCCCCACTTTTTGAACTACAGTATGGTACAATAAAGCATATATTTAGGAGGCGTCTGCGTGAGATGTCAAAGCTGTGGTAGAGGAGAAGAGCACATTGAATTTAATAGGAATGAAACAGGCGCAAACTCACAAATGTGTACCACAATGAAGTGAAGGAGAAGAAAATCAAACTGTCCAAATGGTGTAAGACACAGAAAGCACGTATTGTGATTCGAGGCTATTTTAAATGTTTAAAAAAAGCTCTTGTTCTACTTTCATTGATTATAAGTGCCCAAGGCAAAAATAATGGAGAAGTTTAGCAACTTCCCCTACCTCTTTGATGCAGTAAAGTCAATCCAGCAGTGTCTCGGTACGTTAGACAAATCGGGCACCGCCCACGCGGTCTTACTAAAACATCAAATATATTTTAATTGTGGTACTGAGGTCTGGTTAGTAACTGCTAAAGCGACACCATACAGTGGCTGATAAAGCGGGTATCGGTCTGATTTGGCCAACTGCTGTGCAAGGCATCGACATTATGATCTAAACAGGAGTTGGTCCACTCAATACGTTTCAGGAATTAATAATCTGACGCGCAGTCTCTATGCATTAACAAACATAACCATGCGCACAGACTTGCGTGCACAAATATACTTAGATAAGCAAGTGGATGGAGAGGCACATCTTAAAATTGAAAGGAGCCTACCTTGATGCACCTGAAACACATGTACTCGGTATAAGGTGGCACCCCTTAATGACGCGGAGCATAATATACATTCGTAGGTGTGCATTTTGGTAAAGATGAAGGTGAGACGCTGGGATCCTGCAAAAGGGCTTACACTGCATTCAATCTAAAGCAAAGGCGCCGACTGGATCCCTTCTCAGCCTCAAATGTGATTAAAACGCAGAGGAGCAATAATCGCATATTTGGCCAAACTTTGAGCAATACAGGCACTTGATTAACATTTACCACACTTCACTAGCTTCTTCGTTGTGTCTTCCAACTGCTGAGCTATTTTTTAAATTTCTTTTTACCGAAATATCTCAAGAAATTGGTTATCTAAGGGGACTTCTTAGTTCATTTCGTATTTCGGTAGTATACTTTAACTGATATCCTCTCACTTTATTGTAAGGCAGAAAGCTGTTTTACTCATTTTACAAAACATGAGCATAAAGCGAGAAAACATTAAGTTGTCTCTTTGAGTCACCCAAGTTTTGCTTTTGAGTGAAGATGTCTGCGATACCTCCTGACTGCTCCGCTCACGTTATTTCTGCAACAACATGTAAAGCGCATAATTCGGGTCCTTAAGTAGTCTTGACTCCTCATCTGTAATGCCAGTTGGACAGGTGTGATACGATGCTGGGGTGGTGATTCCACCAACTCAGGGAAATACTGTTCTTCCCGATCTACACTGCTATACTCTGATTGTTAAGAAAATAAGGTCTATATTGCAAGACTAGTCTGCTGGTGGCCAAATGCGGTTGTAAACGTAAAACCTATTGCAGCGAATAGTATCGGTTGTGTGTATAAAATGCCTTTTGAACCATGAAAGTAGATTCTCCGATGTACCGCTAGTGATGCATTCTAGGTGTGTAGACTGTTTTGAAGTAAATATTTTGGTCTCGTGATAAATAAGACCTATTTTCACCGTGATGAAGGAATACTCACAGCTTCGGTGAGTGCTCAGCTCATCCGCATGACTAATCCAACCTCGGAGGTATTTAGTATTGGAGTCTCAATTCACCCCACATCGTAATGCTACAGAGACACTTCGAATAAGTGTTTTTCTGACTAGCCATCAAAGAGAGATACTGATATGATCCTTACCACGTCAGTGTAAATGGCTTCTCTGAGAATCAAGAATGCAGTCAGCTAAGGTGTGGGATACCGTTTAGCTTGAAGTGATGGCGCGATATGATTTCGTCTCTGTTATGAGTATTTGCAGGATTAGATTGAAATACACGTCTCTTTTCTCCACCTAATCTAGGTTTTCACAGTTGTGACAGTTCTCTTGTTGTTGACAGCTATATCCATTGTACCTGCAGTTGCCTTTTAAGTCTGACATTAAAGTTGGAGTAACAGCGGTAAGGTTATGCAAATGCCAGTCTGTTTGTTTTCGATAAAGTATTTAGGCTAAGGGTTTGCCTCTTGAACGTTGCACGATGCAGGATTTGGTAACTGACCTCGCCGTGGACGAACTAAACTTAGTGTACCGGAACCGATAACACTGAAGAACACAAGATTTGACAATGTGAAAGCCTCTCTAACTTACGAATGCCAAATTAGGAACACCTAGCTACTGATGTTGGAACACTACTACGTCCCAATCGTTATTTATTTAAGCTACTATGATGTATGCCATGTCGAATCAACTGGTCAAGGCTCAACTAATTTTGCATAATCATTTCCACCCCTAACTAGAGCTTGCATGACTTTCTTTTTTGCTGTTCAATTACAATATCCACACAATGAATACTCTTGCTTCACGGGACCATCGGTTCTAATGTAAAAGGGCATTAAGATAGCATAAAACTCAACAGAAACTTGCAAATTTTGCTGACGCAAGACCGTTTAATCACACTCTACGCAAATAGGCCGAGCCACATGTCTACAAAGTGGAAGAGAACGTAACGAAATTGCAAACAGCTATTCTGGAACATGCCTGAGAGACGAAGGTAAACCTACATATATGCTGCGAACGTATGTGATCTTGCATTTCGTCCCACGTGGAGTAGTCTGTGTAGCATTCTGGGCAGTAAAGACGGAGTTCTGATTCCCCCACTTTTTGAACTACAGTATGGTACAATAAAGCATATATTTAGGAGGCGTCTGCGTGAGATGTCAAAGCTGTGGTAGAGGAGAAGAGCACATTGAATTTAATAGGAATGAAACAGGCGCAAACTCACAAATGTGTACCACAATGAAGTGAAGGAGAAGAAAATCAAACTGTCCAAATGGTGTAAGACACAGAAAGCACGTATTGTGATTCGAGGCTATTTTAAATGTTTAAAAAAAGCTCTTGTTCTACTTTCATTGATTATAAGTGCCCAAGGCAAAAATAATGGAGAAGTTTAGCAACTTCCCCTACCTCTTTGATGCAGTAAAGTCAATCCAGCAGTGTCTCGGTACGTTAGACAAATCGGGCACCGCCCACGCGGTCTTACTAAAACATCAAATATATTTTAATTGTGGTACTGAGGTCTGGTTAGTAACTGCTAAAGCGACACCATACAGTGGCTGATAAAGCGGGTATCGGTCTGATTTGGCCAACTGCTGTGCAAGGCATCGACATTATGATCTAAACAGGAGTTGGTCCACTCAATACGTTTCAGGAATTAATAATCTGACGCGCAGTCTCTATGCATTAACAAACATAACCATGCGCACAGACTTGCGTGCACAAATATACTTAGATAAGCAAGTGGATGGAGAGGCACATCTTAAAATTGAAAGGAGCCTACCTTGATGCACCTGAAACACATGTACTCGGTATAAGGTGGCACCCCTTAATGACGCGGAGCATAATATACATTCGTAGGTGTGCATTTTGGTAAAGATGAAGGTGAGACGCTGGGATCCTGCAAAAGGGCTTACACTGCATTCAATCTAAAGCAAAGGCGCCGACTGGATCCCTTCTCAGCCTCAAATGTGATTAAAACGCAGAGGAGCAATAATCGCATATTTGGCCAAACTTTGAGCAATACAGGCACTTGATTAACATTTACCACACTTCACTAGCTTCTTCGTTGTGTCTTCCAACTGCTGAGCTATTTTTTAAATTTCTTTTTACCGAAATATCTCAAGAAATTGGTTATCTAAGGGGACTTCTTAGTTCATTTCGTATTTCGGTAGTATACTTTAACTGATATCCTCTCACTTTATTGTAAGGCAGAAAGCTGTTTTACTCATTTTACAAAACATGAGCATAAAGCGAGAAAACATTAAGTTGTCTCTTTGAGTCACCCAAGTTTTGCTTTTGAGTGAAGATGTCTGCGATACCTCCTGACTGCTCCGCTCACGTTATTTCTGCAACAACATGTAAAGCGCATAATTCGGGTCCTTAAGTAGTCTTGACTCCTCATCTGTAATGCCAGTTGGACAGGTGTGATACGATGCTGGGGTGGTGATTCCACCAACTCAGGGAAATACTGTTCTTCCCGATCTACACTGCTATACTCTGATTGTTAAGAAAATAAGGTCTATATTGCAAGACTAGTCTGCTGGTGGCCAAATGCGGTTGTAAACGTAAAACCTATTGCAGCGAATAGTATCGGTTGTGTGTATAAAATGCCTTTTGAACCATGAAAGTAGATTCTCCGATGTACCGCTAGTGATGCATTCTAGGTGTGTAGACTGTTTTGAAGTAAATATTTTGGTCTCGTGATAAATAAGACCTATTTTCACCGTGATGAAGGAATACTCACAGCTTCGGTGAGTGCTCAGCTCATCCGCATGACTAATCCAACCTCGGAGGTATTTAGTATTGGAGTCTCAATTCACCCCACATCGTAATGCTACAGAGACACTTCGAATAAGTGTTTTTCTGACTAGCCATCAAAGAGAGATACTGATATGATCCTTACCACGTCAGTGTAAATGGCTTCTCTGAGAATCAAGAATGCAGTCAGCTAAGGTGTGGGATACCGTTTAGCTTGAAGTGATGGCGCGATATGATTTCGTCTCTGTTATGAGTATTTGCAGGATTAGATTGAAATACACGTCTCTTTTCTCCACCTAATCTAGGTTTTCACAGTTGTGACAGTTCTCTTGTTGTTGACAGCTATATCCATTGTACCTGCAGTTGCCTTTTAAGTCTGACATTAAAGTTGGAGTAACAGCGGTAAGGTTATGCAAATGCCAGTCTGTTTGTTTTCGATAAAGTATTTAGGCTAAGGGTTTGCCTCTTGAACGTTGCACGATGCAGGATTTGGTAACTGACCTCGCCGTGGACGAACTAAACTTAGTGTACCGGAACCGATAACACTGAAGAACACAAGATTTGACAATGTGAAAGCCTCTCTAACTTACGAATGCCAAATTAGGA